AACTGAGGCGCGATCGCCATGCCACCATGCGCCAGTCGGCCTGTACACGTATCAACAAACTCGCGTCCCGAGGTAACCCTCGCCTTCCGAGACATATTTTTGGAGTAAATCCTGCTCGTCTTCCGAAAAACTCGCATACAGGGACACTCGCATTCCGAGGTACCACTGTACCTGATATTATCTTCCTAGGCGACTTCAACTTGCCTAGTCTCAGGTGGAAAATAGCAAACAATAATATTATACCAGGAAATCTATCAGGACCTAACCAACCACAGATTAGAGAACTACTTAGATTCTGTGACAAATTTTCACTCAATCGGCAGATATCGGAGCCAACGAGAAATTAAAATATTCTAGATCTGGTCTTTACGAACAATGAAGACATGATCAGAGACATTACGATATCAGATACCACATACTCAGATCACAAACTCATTGAAGTGCAAACGACCATCAATACTCAGAATAGACCTAAAACGTTGATAAAGCGAGAGGGGCTATTCAGTAAATTCAATTTTAATAATAAAAGGATAGACTGGGAGATAATAAACAGGGAACTTACAAACATTCCATGGGGAACTGTTCTACGTAATACAAGTCCTACAGAAGGAATAGAAAAACTGACTTCGGAAGCGTATCAAGTCTGTCTGAAACATGTTCCTTTGAGGAAAGCCAGAAAGAGATCTAACGTAGAAAGAGAACGTAGACGACACTATAAATGCAGGAAAAAAATAACGGAACTGCTTATGCAGACACGAATTTCCCGTCAAAGAAGGAATAATTTAAATAGGGAGATTGAAGAAATCGAGCGGAAATTGAAACACTCATATGAAACTGGAGAAAGGCAGTTAGAACAGAAAGCAATTCAGGAAATAAAGAAAAATCCAAAATATTTCTTCTCATATGCGAAATCAAAAGCAAAAACCACTGCCAGTATTGGACCTATTCGTACAAGTGAAGGTTCATACACGGAGGATGACAAAGAAATTAGTGAAATCCTAAAAAAGCAGTATGGGGACATGTTTAGCACTCCAATAAACAACATGAAGGTGGAAGATCCAGACAATTTCTTTATGCAGGATATTCAAACCCCTGTAAATATAACTGATATAAACACGAGCGCACTAAATTTTGAAAAAGAAATTGAAAACATGCCCATGCACTCGGCCCCAGGTCCAGACTCATGGAATTCAATATTTATAAAGAAATGCAAAGTGCCGGTAGCACAGGCACTCAGTATAGTGTGGAGGAAGAGCTTGGACACGGGGGAGATACCAGATGCACTTAAAGTAGCAGACATAGCCCCTCTACACAAGGGAGGGAGCAAAGCATTGGCAAAAAATTATAGACCAGTTGCACTAACATCGCACATCATAAAAGTATTTGAGAGAGTGATTAGGAGTCAGGTCACCAATTTCATGGAGACCAATGACCTTCACAACCCAGGCCAACATGGATTTCGAGCGGGAAGATCGTGCCTCTCACAGCTACTTGAGCACTACGACAAAGTCACTGAGGCATTAGAAGAAAAACAGAATGCTGATGTGATATACACGGACTTCTCAAAGGCTTTCGATAAATGTGACCATGGCGTGATAGCACACAAAATGAAGTCAATGGGAATAACCAGTAAAGTAGGACGCTGGATACTCAGTTTTCTGTCAAACAGGACTCAGCGAGTAACGGTCAACCATATAAAATCTAGTCCAAGTGCAGTGAAAAGCTCTGTACCTCAGGGTACAGTCCTTGCACCGCTGCTTTTCCTTTTTCTCATATCAGATATAGACAAAAATACAAGTCACAGCTTCGTATCATCCTTTGCAGATGACACAAAAATCAGTATGAAAATTACCTCGGCTGAGGGCATTGAAAAACTTCAAGCTGATATTAATAAAGTTTTCAACTGGGCATCAGAAAATAACATGATGTTTAACAGTGATAAATTCCAGGTACTCAGGTACGGTAAAAATGAGGACCTTAAACATAATACAGAGTACAAAACACAATCAAATGTACCCATAGTAGGAAAACAGCATGTAAAGGATTTGGGAATAATAATGTCTGACGACCTAACGTTTAAGGAGCATAACCAAGCAAATATTGCGACAGCCAGAAAAATGATAGGATGGATTACGAGAACTTTCAAATCCAGGGATCCCATCACAATGGTTGTACTCTTCAAGTCACTTGTGTTGTCCCGTCTTGAGTACTGCTCAGTACTCGCTTCCCCCTTCAGAGCATGAGAGGTTGCTGAAATAGAGGGAATACAGAGAACATATACGGCACGCATAGACGCAATAAAGCACCTAAATTATTGGGATCGTCTCAAAGCCCTCCAAATGTACTCAATAGAAAGAAGACGAGAGAGATATCAAATAATATACACCTGGAAGATACTGGAGGGCCAAGTACCAAATCTACACAGTAAAATAACAACGTACTGGAGTGAACGATATGAAAGAAAGTGTAGAATAGAACCAGTGAAGAGCAGAGGTGCCATAGGCACAATCAGAGAACACTGTATAAACATCCGAGGTCCGCGGTTGTTCAACGTCCTCCCAGCAAGCAGAAGAAATATTGCCAGAACAACCGTGGACATTTTCAAGAGGAAACTAGATTTATTCCTCCAAGGAGTGCCGGACCAACCGGGCTGTGGTGGGTATGTGGGCCTGCGGGCCACTCCAAGCAACAGCCTGGTGGACCAAACTCTCACAAGTCAAGCCTGGCCTCGGGCCGGGCTTGGATAGTAGAAGAACTCCCAGAACCCCATCAACCAGGTATCAACCACAGAGCTTGGTTCTTGCATCGGTAATGTTCATTGTCTACATGAACAATCTACCAGATTTAAATCAATCTATACAGAAACAATCTATACAGAATTATATGAACATATTTGCTGATGATGCTAAGATAATGGAAGGATAAGTAACTTAGATGATTGTAATGCCCTTCAAGAAGACCTAGACAAAATAAATATATGGAGCACCACTTGGCAAATAGAATTTAATCTAAATGAATGCCATGTTATGGAATGTGGAATAAGAGAACATAGACCCCCCACACACCCTATAAATTATGTGGAAAATCTTTAAGAGACTTCTGATAAAGAAAGAGATCTAGGGGTGGTTCTAGATAGAAAACCATCAACTGAGGATCACATTAAGAACGTTGTGCGAGGAGCCTATGCCATGCTTTCTAACTTTAGAATTGCTTTTAAATACATTGATGTCAAAATACTAAAGAAATTGTTCACGATTTTTGTTAGGCCAATGCAGTGGTTGTATGGTGCCCATATCTTAAGAAGCACATCAACAAATTGGAAAAGGTGTAAAGACATGCTACTAAGTGGCTCCCAGAACTGAAGGGCAAGAGCTACGAGGAGAGGTTAGAAGCATTAAATATGCCAAAACTAGAAGACAGAAGAAAAAGAGGAGATATGATCACTACATACAAAATAGTAACAGGAATTGAAAAAATTTCTAGGAAAGATTTCCTGAGGCCTGGAACTTCAAGAACAAGAGGTCATAGATTTAAACTAACTAAACAAAGATGCCGAAGAAATATAAGAAAATTCACTTTTGCAAACAGAGTGGTAGACGGTTGGAACAAGTTAGGTACTCGCCTAATTGTACTCCCCTAATTGTGCTTGGGGGGGGGGGGTTGAGCTTTGGCTCTTTGGTCCCGCCTCTCAACAGTCAATCAATTGATGTACAGATTTCTGAGCCTACCGAGTTCTGTCATATCTACATTTGAAACTGTGTGTGGAGTCAGCCTCCACCACATCACTTCCTGGTGCATTCCTTTTACTAACTACTCTGACACTGAAAAAGTTCTTTCTAATGTCTCTGTGGCTCATTTGGGTACTCGGCTTCCACCTGTGTCCCCTTGTGTGAGAAGGTGGTGGAGGACAAAACCATCTAATTTCAAAGCGTTATTTGACAGTGCTGGGGAGACGGGATACCACGAGCTTAGCTGTCATCCTGTACTACATTTGGGTAATTACACACTCAAGATATAAACATTTACTAAAGCTCAATCTAACGTACTTGCAACACTTGCAAAATAAAACAAAAATTAACAAAAAATACAACAAATTGGTATTTAACTAAGATAAACATTTAGATTAATGACAATAAAAGCTAGACTTTATATACCAGACATTACAATAGGTTACATCTTTAAATAGCTTCATAAAATTCAAAAGGTTTTGAATCTTTTTTTTCCATAACAATGAAAATGGTTCGAGCCTCTTAAATCGTATTTTGCAATTTGGGGAGTAGCTTTCTCCTTGTATTCTCTCATGTCCCCATTAATGCTCTGAACAATTTTGTATTCAGTTGTCACCTGGGTTATTAGTACCGTTAGATTGACTGCTGCTGATCCTATTAGTTTTGTTCATAAAAAATTAGCTAAGTGGGTGTAAAAATTTTCAATGATGGAAGATTCTTGAAATGTGTAGTGTCACCTTGTTGTATCACACTTGGTTCTCTGAGTCTGGATGGGTTCACTTATTTTAGGGAAATACAGGTATTCTAAGTATAATTGCTTGCTGCAATATTTCATGTAATTTTTTGTTAACACTCTTGTGGTATAATTTAGGCTACTATGCATTGCTCAGTGACCCAATAGCCAGGTTTCATAATTTGGATTTTCAGTGAATCGCATACCTATCTTATTTTCTAAGCCATGTTCCTGCCCTCTCTGCCCCACCCCCCATTTTTATGATTTGTCATCACACTATATATGCAATAACAACCAACTTTCAAATAATAATATTAGTTCTTTCAAACTTGAATTTCTCAAACACTGAACTGCAATAAGAGGAGTTATACATTGTCCTTATAGAACTCTTTATTCATCAACATGTATACTCCTTCCTTTTCTCATTTTCTCTCACTTCTTTTCTTATAATATTTGTTCCATTCTTCATGATCTGAAGATAAAAACACTTTAGTAAATTTATAACGATAATTAAAACTTTCTCTATGGGTTGTTTGCAGTGTGCTGAAGCCTTGGATCCTAAGAGCCCACAAGTGGATCAATCCAGTCAGCAGGTCTGGAAAAGCTAAGTTGCCAAGGTATTAGCTCTTTTTAAATTTACAGAAACTTGTCCTTCATATATACATGGTCTTTGACCTAATTAACCACTGCACTGCGCACCTGTTTTTGGCAAAAATTTCATAGTGCAATTGTCAATGACATATTTTTGTTGTTTATATAAGCGTTTAGGTAAAGTTAATGTCAAAATGTTTCCAAACTCAACTATTTCCATTTCAAAACATGGAGTAATGAAAACATTAACAAACATTAAAATATAGCCTAATTAAAAAATAGTAGCACAACTCTGAGCACCTAAAGGCTCTTTGTGCAGTGCAATGGTTAATCTCATTAAAAAGTACTAAAATAACTTCGACTTATTAACCACAAATAAATTATACCTATAGCAGTTGTCTTGCTTTTCAAACCACTCAGGACCAAACCCTGTAAAAAGAAAAATAATTTATCCAGGCTGGGTCAGGGGGAGGGGAAAGGTGCAAATTGTGGCAGCACTCTTTTGGTGTTGTCACAGTTGCCTACAAAAAACTAGGCTAGCATCTCGGAGGCAAGCTAGTATGTAGTGAGGAGGACAGAGGGAGTGGGGTAAGTTTAGACAAAAACAAATAACTTATCAGTTTGTAAAGAGGGCTTGTGACTATTAAATTCTTATTGATCATTGCGAGTAGAAATTAAATAAATTTGAATATTTTGTATCAAAATACAGTGGACCCTGATAAGATAAGATTCACCCTAACTTAACACTTTCGCGCTATCTGGACGCGCCGGTGCGTCCGGTTTCGTCTAACGTAAACGCATAGTGGACATAAAGTTATGTCTTCTTTTAAAATATTTGTATAAAATTCAATTTTAATCCGATTTCATTGGGGTTTGTTTCAAACGACGCGCCATGAAGTTCTCTTTCTCACCACTAGGCCGCCTGGCGCGTCGGCCTACCCGCTCACGTGACGGGCCCATTGTTTTCGTGTCACGTGTCGTGAGTCGATCACGCTCCTCTCGCGCGCCAAACTCGAGCATTTTTACCTGTTTCCGTGTGGATTATACCCAATTACTTCATCAAAAATGGATCAAGGTCAAGGCCCAAGCACTTCTACGCCCAAGGAAGCCTCCAGGTCATCGAGAGTGGACAAAATAACCCAAATTTTTAAGAAGTGGAGCGGAGTGAAGCTCACACCAACGAAAATTCCAGGCCTTGTGGAGGATTTATCAGAAGCTGAAGGTGATGTAGAGGTATTGGAGGAAGATTTTGGAACCCACAACGATTATAGTGTACCTAGAGCTAGAGGGAATGATACGGCAACGAGTGATGAGACTGAGGCCCTCACCGAGGAAGAGGAGGCACCGCGACCCCCTCCTCCTCCTCCATCTCGGCGCACACGTGGTGCATCTAGGCTACCTAGAAAAGTAGCTACCAGACACGTTACTCGTCGTAGGAACACACGACAAATTGCGCCAAGTGATTCTGAAAGTATAAGTGATGAGGAAAGTGATGAGGATTCATTCGAGCCTGCTGAAAGGCGTACACGTACAGTACGTACTCGGCAGGCTGGGGCTGGTGAGGGCTGGAGTCATAGCAATACTTCTCCAGTTGTTGATGATTTTACTGGAAATCCTGGACTGAAAATTCCCAAGCCTACTAGTGCACTGGCTTATATTCAATTGTTCATCACGCGTGCGCTCCTTGAGTTCTTTACCGTTGAAACAAATTTGTACGCCTCACAGTTATTCCGGATGGCCAATGAAAATGTATCAGATATTTGGACCCCAGTGAAGGTGAGTGAAATGGCGCGATTCCTAGGACTGTTCATATTGATGGGCATAATTAGGCTCCCAACTATGAGGATGTATTGGCAAACAGCAAAGCCATGGCATGCTCGTTTCTTCAGCTTGTTCATGCCGTCCAGACGATTCCAGCATATAAACCAGTTTTTCCACACATTCGATACCAATGCAGTGCACGTGAACAATCGTGATAAGTTGATAAAAGTGAGACCAGTGATGGATTACTTGAAAGAGAGGTTTGCTCAAGTTTACATCCCCAAGAAAGAGCTGTGTTTGGATGAGGGTACAATGGCATGGCGAGGCCGACTATCCTTCAAAGTGTACAATCCAAACAAACCAGACAAGTATGGTGTGAAACTTTATATGCTTGCTGAATCTGTCTCTGGGTACATATATGACTTTGACGTATACTCAGGTATTGGTAAGACGATAGTGGATACAGTAACGGGGTTGATGCAGCCTTTAGTGAACCAGGGTTACCATTTGTACATGGATAATTACTACAACTCGGTTACCCTGACAGAAACATTGAGAGAACTTGGGGTGTACACATGTGGCACAATTAGAATGCTACGTGGCGCCCCAAAGGTATTGCAAGCTCTAGCCAAGGGTAAGCTTCCACTGGATACCACAGTATACCGCCGCAAAGATAATACCTTCATTCGCCTGTGGAAAGACAAGCGAGTGGTTTCAATCATTACCAACATCCACAATGCAGACACTCAGCGAGTTCAGCGAAGGAAGCGAATTCGCAACCGAGACGGAACAAGTGGAATACAACAGGTAACAGTGAACAAACCAACTGCAATTTGCGAGTACAATAAGTTCATGAAAGGTGTGGACCACTTCGATCAAATGGTTAAATATTACCATTTTACCAGGAAAACTCACAAGTGGACCAAAAAGATTACCTTTTATTTCCTGCAAATGGCATTGCATAATGCCTATGTTTTGTACAAATACAACACAACTGATCGAAAAAAGCTAACATTGCTACAGTTCCACGAAGTGGCAATCTGGGCCCTATTGCACTGGGACACAGAGGAGTGGCCTAAAACATCATCATCATCTCAACACTTGCGGCACGCTCCAGACATAAATGATGACACAGCTCCTGCCAATGCTGACGCCATGCCAACTCCCGGACCATCTGGTGTGAGACGGCCTTTGTTCACTACACCACCTCAAGATGAAGCAGACAACGAATCTGAACCCGACATGTCTGCCACACTGCCAGTTGACGAAACTGTTTTGTCAGATGAATCTGACTCTCCTGCAACTCCTGTTACACCTCCAGCGAGAGGACCTGGCCGCCCTATTGTTGATTCAGAAAATCGCATGAACTACAAACTGAAACATGAAATTTACAGACTGCCCAAACGTCTCAAGTGTCATGCATGCGCACGGTCCGGTAAAAGGAAGGACACGAACTATGGATGCAAGACCTGTGGTGTTGCACTCTGTGTTGTTCCCTGCTGCACCAATTACCACCGGAAACAGGTGTATTGGGTGGTGAAGAAGTAACCACTTGCAACAGCTTCACTCCACCTACAAACCATCTGTTGAGCAACTTCAGGAATGAAGAACCTGAAGAAGGTGGAGTGAAGAACAAATGCTCAACTTACTGTTCCACAACCAGCCTTCCCTTGGTAAGTACACCTATTTGGTCCAAGTTTGTGTAGTATAATTTAGCTCATAGAACATTCTATTGCGAAAACATTGCCACAAAAATGAATGACATACATACAATAATAATATCAGAACAGTGAAATAAGTATAAACTTTCAAAGCAACGTTTCGCGCGTGTGTCGTCCGGTCATTGTTACCGGGTATTAGTGCGCCCACTTCCCACACTCTTGCAGGTGGGCCGGGACCATTATTCTACGAATATATTCATATCACCGTGTTGGGAATTTTATTGGGAGTCCATTGATACCAAAATTAAGGCTGTAGGACAATTGTAGAGGTGATAATAATCCCAAGAGTAAAAACATTTTGTTGCTGTTGAGCGCTCACGGCGACTCATCTTCGTAGTTATTTATTTCATGCTGGTATCTCTATAGCTTTCGTGACTTTTTTTACTGATGTTCTTCTAGAGAATTTTATTGCGAACACGTTGGTACCAAAGTGAAATACGTAGCATGAAAACTAAGGTCAGAAAAGTAAAAAGAGTATACACATTTTTGTTTTTACAATTAAGCGATAAAAACGCCGCGCGCACATACGGTTGGCTGAGTGACCTTCGCCGAGAGCTCAAAAGTGTTAACAAAATCCTGGATGGTCTGAGTAGTTTATATTTAGTGCAAATTGATCAGTGAAACAAAGACAGTATTTGTTTCTTGGTGTGAGGTGGGCGAGGAAACACCGCCACGCTTACCCCATCCCATGCATAGTTAATTTATATTATTCATACTGTATCTAGACCAGTAGACACCTTGTGTGCAAATTTTGGTCATTGTTTCATGTACTATAATAATTATGTATTTATAATTTAATTTACAGAATAGTACACTGAAGATTTCTTGATCATGTGTGATTGTCAAAATGAAGACTACATACAAAATTAATATTTTTTTCTGTGGAGAGCCCCTCCGGCTCCCCGGAGCTTACCGGGCTGATATGTATGTATTAGACCGTGGCATCAGTCAGTTTGATTGGAGTTCTATGCCTACTGGGGACCACAAGCCAGAAGCTGGCCCCCCCCCCCCCCTTCAGAGAGGCACGAGGAGCAATGGCTTATAGAAACCCCCATGTGGTTGGAAGCATTCTATGTCTGCCATCTACCAGGTTAGGCACCCAGAAAGGTAAGCGTCCCAAAACAAACTACAGCTGGTTAAAAATTGCAACCGAAAGCCAAACTAGCAAGCAGAACTCCCCCAAACAGAAAACAGCAAACAAGCATAACATCACCATCGCCGCTGCACCACTGTCTGCACAGCTCCCCCCCCCCTCCCTTGGAGGGGGAAGGGAGAGCCCCACACCCTCCCCGCACCAGCTATTCAACCCAAGTTCTTCGTATGCCAGTTGTGCCAGATTCAGACCGGCCTCTCCTGTGGAGGAATTGGAGTCTGGTCAGCGCATTGATCGCTCTGAGCGTTGGTCGGGCTCTCGTAAGGATCGTCAGCTTTTTCGTGGTTCACCCCGTTGAAGGGGCGATAGAGAGGGGGGAAGGTTCGCACTGTTTGCTCTTGCCTGGTCCCACGATTCGTGGGCATTTCAGGTAGTTTCCTCCGAACTGCAA